CTCTCAAATCTCACGGCACACTTAAGCCTTACTGGCGGCACACCGTTTGGGAAACACTGCGACGATGAGCTATTTGCGAGAGTCGGCCCCCGGAAGTTAGCGTGGCCCGTGATGGGGAGGGGATGCGCGGGTGAGTCGGACTCACAGGCTGCGCGTCTCTTGGGAACATTCCTTTTCCGACGATTCCTTCGGGGAAAGCGTTTCTCCCGGTTTTGCTCCTTTCGTTTTCGGGCACGTGTTCTGCCGAATCGTGGGACGAAAGGGGCGAAGTGAGTCGGTTGGACTCGTGAGAGCCACACTCGAAAGCATCGTCTTCGACGGCTGTTTCTCTCGTGAACAAAAAATGCGCCGACACCATGCACTCGGATGGAAAAGAAGAAAGATGTTCGCGATGCTGATTTCTATTCGTGTCTGTCTTAAGTCTCTTTCTGCGGATTAAAACGCCCAAGCCATGAAATTCTCGAGAAAGTGTCATGGTATTGGAGCGAGAGCAGAAAGAGACAAGGCTTAACACCTGTCCCACCGTTTCAATGCAACCCCTGCAGCAACCACTGCAGCTACCACTGTAGCTACCACTGTAGCATCCACTGTCACCACAGATAGATTAGCCAGTGCTTAGAGGCGTCATCTCGATCCATCGTTAGATCGGGACGTGGGGCCCCGAGTGAAATTGAAACAATGGGAACAATGGGTCGGAAATACTCGTCGGCGAGATCGGTCGAGACAAGGCATGCGAGAGTCGGCCATTTATTTTCCGCTCCGGTTTTTTTTGTGCCTGAATGCGCCCGGCACTTTGCACGCGAGGTGCTTCGTCTGTCTCGTCGGGAATAACACATGTAGGTCACTGCGAGGATATATCACTCTGCCGGTTGGGAGGATCGCAGGTACACGAACTTAAGAAGCTCTCGGGGTCGGTGCGGCCGTTTCGAAGGGGAAAGGATGGGTTTCGTGTCGGTTGGTTTCGCTTGGCTTCTGTTGAGTCGAACCGGAATTTTGCTCTCGGCAACGAGCGATGGAATTTCGAGTTCCTCTGATGGCCTTGACTTCTGAGGCGGACGCGCGATGATTCCGTGCCGGCAGGTGGGGCCCGTGTTCCCGCGAGTGCGGCGGCGGCGTGAAGGGCAGCGTGCGCCAGTGCGACTCCCCGACGCCGAGCCACGGGGGACACTACTGCGTGGGGCAGAGGGTGAGGTATCGGTCGTGCAACACGAAGGAGTGCCCGCCGGATGTCGCCGACTTCCGCGCCGGGCAGTGCGCGGCGTTTAACAACAACAATTTCAACATACAGGGGCTGCCGCATGACGTCAGGTGGATTCCGAAGTATTCAGGCAGTACGTTCTCGCTTTCGTTTTCCGTTCGACGCGGGTGGCTTCGTGCCGGATCAAACGTTTCGTCGAGGCTCCATTTCAACTCGTTCGTTTCGGGTTTTGCTCGAATTCTGCTCGAATTCTGCTCGAGTTTTGCTCGAGTTTTGCTCTGCTATCGTTGCCTTCGTCGGCTCGTAAATTTGAGGAAATGGTTGATCCCGCACGAGCGCCCGCGAGCAGCATCGGGCTCTCGTTCACCGGCCTTCTCTGGTCGATTCCTTCCGTTGCAGTTCAGCCGAAAGACGCGTGCAAGCTCTTCTGCCAGGTCTCGGACTCCAACGCGTACTACCTGCTCCAGGACAAGGTGATCGACGGGACGACCTGCGGCCCGGACACCAACGACATCTGCGTGAACGGGATCTGCAAGCCGGCCGGATGCGACCACATCCTGGACTCGAACAAGCAGACAGGTCTCGCGTTTCCCGTTTCGCAACCGGGGATCCCGGTTTCCCCCGTTTTGGCTCGTAGTCCGATGGCATCGATTAGATTGGTGCTTTGCACTGGTTTCGAGTTTGAGGCTAGATCTAATTTTTAAAATTTTTTTTACTTTCAAATTATTTTAAATACTTTTATGGATTAGTATACATAACTTAATACTCAGTAATATTCCGTATACATATAAAGTAGAATGTGCCTTCGCATTCAGTGGTATTGGAATTTTTCTGTTCAGAAATATCCTACACCGGACGAATTTTCACAAAGGTTGCCCGTTTAATTATGAGACGTTCGTCGATGTGAGCCCCGATTTCCCCCACAGACATGTGCGGGATCTGCGGAGGGGACAACAGCACGTGCCAGGTGATCGCGGGGCACTTCAACGAGGCCCAGTACGGCTACAACCACGTGGTGCTGCTGCCGGCTGGGGCGTCCCACGTCGACATCCGCCAGCATGGCTACAAGGGGTCGAACAAGGATGACACCTATCTTGGTGGGTGGATGGGTGGGTGGGTGGGTGGATGGATGGGTGTAGGTTTGGCAGGTAATTTTTTGTGGCATTTTTTGTCTTCATTTATTGGAGGTAAAAATTAGAAGTTTTGTTGGACTGTTTTGTATGGCGTTCCGACTGAGAATGAATTTATTGAATGGCACCTAAGATTGTTGGTCCGTTCAGGAATGAAAAAGTGAAAAGAGTGTCAATTAGGGTAAAAAAGACTAGAGGGAAAATTTGAGTAGAATGAAGTGTTGATAGGGGGAGGTGTTTCAGGAGCTAAAAAATGTAGTAACTAAATTTTTTTCCAGTTGAATTAAAAGCAATTGGAACCCAATTGAAAGACACTGTAAACTGGAAATACAATGTGAAATGGGAGGAAAGGTCCTGGAGATGATAAACGACGAAGACGAACAGCCGGATGAGTGCAAAAAAAAGAAAACTTAAGCAGAAAAGTCTTTGCACGAAAACGGGAACAGAGGAAGGACCAAATGCATCAGCCGAAATAGATCTCAATGGACATCTGAATGAGCTGAGATATTAATAAAGGATATGAAATCCTGAACTTCCTCCAGAGAATTCTGAATCGATATCCCCGAAGCTTTGGTCAACTCCAGATGCATCCACGACAGTTTCATTTGTTAGGAACTTTATCATAAGTTCCTAACTTCTGTGAGTGTAAGGTTTTTTTTCCAGATTTTTTTTTTTCTCGACAGGATTCCTCTGAAAAAAAACCTTGAAAATATCAGAAGTATGTCCTTGTAGCGCTGGTGGCGGGTGGGACGAGGGAGTACCTGTTGAACGGTCACTTCGTGGTGAGCATGTTCCAGAAGACCCTCCAATACGCGGGGGCTACCATCGACTATACGGGGTCGGAGGCGGTCGTGGAGCGTCTCAATTCGTCGGCCAAGCCGCTGCAGCAGGATCTCATCGTCGAGGTCTCGATGTCGTTTTTGATTTTTGGGGTTGGGGGATGTGGCTTGGGGGTGAGGTGAGGTTTTTTTCGGGTGCAGGTGTTGTCGGTGGGAAACCTGAATCCGCCGGATGTGCATTATAAGTATACCATCTCCGTGTCTGATTACACCAAGTTTCGCTGGACGTATCGGGGCTGGTCGGACTGCGACCGCATCTGTCGGGGTGAGGGGCTCGAAGATCGGATCGTCAGTGACAGGTGTTCGAATTGTTTCTTGTTCAAAGTGGTTTTTGGATCTTTTCAGGGGAAAGGGTGCGGAAGGAGGCGTGCGTCCGGATGCCGGATGGAAAGCCGGTCTCTGACAGAAAGTGCAAGGGGGAGCCTCTGCCCGAGTCCATTAAAGAATCCTGCAACACACATTGCAGTCTCAGGTGGAATATCCAGAACAGTCCATATTATAATGAAAATGTTAGGAATGGGAAAATGTAAAGAAAAAAGCATATATATGGAATATCATCGGTTAGCCACACATTCAGCAGCATGGGCACATTTATTACCCACAGAAGTCTATGATAACATATCTGCAGTATTGACACATCCCACATTTCTACGATGAGCATGCTTCGTAAAACGGTAGGAATTAGGAACCTGGGAAGCGAATGGATGGAATTTCCTTTTCCCCTCAGCTGGCACATCACCCACCGTTCAGAGTGCAGCGCCCGGTGTGGGCCCGGATTCCGGTCCCTCACCCTGCAGTGCGTCCAGAGCTTCCCGGACTTCAGGGACGTCCCCGTGAGCGAGAAGCACTGCAGTCACCTGCGCGAGAAGCCTCAAAGCATGGAGTCGTGCGAGGGTCCCTGCGAGAACGTCCACTGGAACTATGGAGAGTGGTCCGAGGTCCTCCATCCCGTACTATCAAGTGATTTTTTTTTTATTTTTAACGACGGATGTTTGATGGAAGGAAGGGGATCCAGTGTTCCCAGAGCTGCAACGGAGGCATCCAGACCCGGTCGGCGAAGTGCGTGGACGAGCTGGGCCGGGAGGTCGAGGAGTCCCAGTGCAACGCGACGGAGCGGGTCACGTCCAGGCTCTGTGGGATCGGGGACTGTCCGCGCTGGGAAGTTGGGGACTGGACCCCTGTGGGTCTCCCTTTTTTTTTCCTTTTTTTTTTTCGTTCTTACTTTTTTGTCGACTCGTTTTCTTAATTCGAGTGAGGGTGGATTTTCCATCTGCTTGACCACTAAATTGATCATTTGCTTGATTTTGTACATATGGAGGGTATGTAAAAGGAACAGTGCATGGGAAAACGATCGAATTTTGTGCAGTTAATATTGTATGAAGTGAGTTTGTGGTTACAGTTGCCCACAGAGTAATCGCTCAAAAAAAGTTATATCTCAAAAGTTGCCAGAAATCACAGCACCGACGAAAACGCTGATAAAAATCTCCCATGCCCAGTTTCTTCTCCATGCACCCTGTATAGAGATGTGTGCATAAGCGAGAGAGAGAGAGTGATGAATAACCGATGCATGTCGTGGTGGGTGGTGTGGCGGTGTGCACTGGCAGTGCGGCTTGCATCGCGGGGTGTGCGAAAGGCAGAGGCCTTACTGGTGTCAGGCAGAGGGCAGGGCGGTGGCGGGGTTCTATTGCAACCAGACGCTGGTCCCCAGGCACCGGCAGGCGTGCCCCCTCGGCGACTGCGCCCAATGGGATGCCGGGGCTTGGTCCCCTGTGAGTTTCGAGATTCTCGACTTGTTTCGCTTTTCGCAGGGACGATGTCTCTCTCTGGATGGTTCTTTTTGCGGCCGCTTTCTGCATGACTCTTCTTTCGCCAGTACAAAAGAGGCCGATGGTGGCACTTGCAGGGACGTGAATGCGGCTGTCGTGAGGACGAGAGAATGACCGTAAGACTCCAGAAGCTCCAGCAAGATACGAATCCTAATTTTGTCACGGCTTACGTGACCGATTCAATAATCTCACCGTGTTATAGAACATTCTTGCTTCTTGGATTTCCTGTGTTCTCCTTGTCACTATTGCAGGAAACCTATATATTTGGATGTCAAAATTCATTTATTTATTTCATTTATGCATTAATGTTGAGTTATAATTTTTTATTTTTCACATTTTCTAAATGCTGACAAATTTATCCTTTTCTCGGTCACATTTTCCTGTTAATTTTATCATCAAAGGAGTTAATGGGAAAGTTGCTAATTAGAAGTTAGAGAAAGAAAAATTCACGTCCCCGCAACGTGCCTTCATCCATTTCCTGCTCCAGCCATGCACCGATTTGCTGGTCAGCCTTGGCTTGCAGCTTTCATTTATTTTATTTTTTACTTAACCACCATCTGACTCTTTTACACCGTGCAGTCGTAGAAATTGGCCCTAAACGAAGAGATTGTGATGAGAGAGTCAGACTGGGTGTGGTTGGACGCGGTCCCCCGTTTTTCCACCTGCACAGTGTAGCGCGACCTGCGGGATGGGCATCCAGACCCGAGCCGTCCAGTGTCAGAGCAAGCGAGGGAAAGGGACGCTCCTCGAGGAGTCCAGTTGCGACCCGGGTCTGAGACCGCCCGAGTCTCAGTCCTGCCACTTCCCGCCGTGCACCACAACTACCACTACCACTACCACTACCACGACCACGACCACTACCACGACCTCCACCACTCCTCGACCATCTGCGGTGTCGTTTCCACTTCTTGTGAGGCAGTCCTCAACGATTCCAAATTTGATCTTTTTCTTGCGAGAATTTTTTCTCAATGTGGGGATTCCAGGGAGAAGTGAAGGAAAGAAGGAACGAGAAGCAAATGACATCGATTCGTCCTGACGTCCTTCAAAGTCCGGACTTCAGCAACGAGATCCAGGTTGACGGATCTCAGCAGCCTCATCAGGTGGACCATGCCGATAGCCTCGTCAAGGCCACGTGGCTTGCGTCTCCCTGGGGACCTGTGAGTCGATGCTCCCTGGAAATTCCATGATCCTCGCAAGTTTTTTTTTTAAGTCTAGGATCGAGAATGCAGATTTGAAATGATTTTAAATGGCTCGGTAGTGTTCGGTAACTTGCGGGAAAGGAGTGAGAAATCGAACAGTGGGGTGCTACACGCTGGCGGGTAAGAGAGTGGAGTCGACCTATTGTTACCATTCGGATCCACCAAAGTCGGTCGCGATGTGCGACCAGCCTCCATGCGCCCACTGGCAAGTCGGGAACTGGTCCGAATGCTCCGTCACGTGCGGACAGGTGAGAGCGAAGGCTGCACGATGTGCCGCGAACCCGCTGTGGGATGCCCCGTCGTGATCGTGGTGGTTGGGGGTCCTAGGGGTACCAGGTGCGTCAGGTCGTGTGCATGAGGCTGACGGGGGGAGAGGAGTTGGATCCGGAGGAGTGTCTGTTCGATCGGAGGCCGGAGAGCGAGAGGTCGTGCCGGAAGCCTTCCTGTTCCTATCCGCGGCAGCAGATGATCACCATCGAGCACCAGCTGAAGCTCGGGCAGCAGCATCAATGGGTCACGGGAGCCTGGGGCAAGGTCTGTCCCCCTCTTACTCTCTTTCTCCCGTGGAAGTCCTTACCCGATGACGACACGGTGGGCCTCTTCGCGCAGTGTTCGCGGACGTGCGACGGCGGGTTCATGCGTCGGACCGTGGTGTGTCAAGACAGCACGGGTCACCTCAGCGATCTGTGCAACATGACCAAGCGACCCAGAGACACGTTGTCCTGCAACACGGATCGGTGCCCCACGTGGAGCTCGAGCGATTGGGACCCCGTAAGACATCACCATCATCATCATGCTCCTTCTCCTCGGTTCCCTCGTGGTCGGAACCGAGACGTGTCGTACCTAGGAAATGGGAGAAATTGAAACCGGAGAGAAAGGGAGGGAAAACTTACTTTTGTGATGGGAATTTGGACACTTTTTCTAAGCCGCTTTTCTTCTGATATTTGTGATATTTTTTTAATACGGTCATGGATGATTTTTTGGATGTTGGGTGTGGTTGACGGTTGGTGCCCTGTGTTGATAACTCAGTGCATCCGACCTGCTCGGTCTGCCCTGCTAGGAGTACACGCGATCCGGGTCGAAGACAAGGTAACCGCAGGTTAACTCTTAATACGTCTTCTCTCAGTTGACTCCTCTCTCTCTGTATCGTATCTCTGATGATGATGACACCATAGATTTTGCTGCTGTCGGATTCTTCTGTTAGATGCTAACAATGGTATCGCTGTTATTTTTAGGTCTTAATTTGTAATTGTGCCCCTAACATTCTGATGATGTTAACCTCCCGTATAACCTATCTTAGGACAGATCCGCAAACCATGTAGGTTCCTTACTTAGCATTGGGATCTTTGAAAATCGCATTTTTAAAGCCATCGAACGTGAAGGAATTCTACATGGGATCATTTCCCGACCCGGCAGTGCAATCGGACGTGCGGGGGAGGATACCAGACCAGAGAAGTGAGATGCATTAATCACTTGGACGAGAAGCTCCCCGAAAATCTTTGCAGCATCCAGGATCGTCCCAAGGACTCCCGAGAGTGCAACGGGCATCGATGCTCGCACAGGGAATACAAATGGAACAAGGGTTCCTGGGGTCCTGTGAGTTTTAACATTTCCGATCCGACTCGAGTCCCGTCGAGGCTTCGAGGTGGTTGACGATGGAGCACGGTGGGGTTGGGGCATTGCAGTGCAGTCGGGGCTGTGACGGAGGGGTGAAGACCCGGCAGGTGGTGTGCGTGGAGGCCGAAGACCACTCGATGGTGGTTGTCGATGATCTCTGCGATCCTTCCCAGAAACCTCGCACGTCTCGGGGTTGCAGGAGGAAACCTTGTCCTTATTCCTGGAGGACCACCGATTGGTCACCGGTGAGGAAGTTACCATTGGTTACCCAGAACCTCTCTTTGTCTTTTTTTTGTTACGTTCCTTTCCATCTCGCCAGTGTTCCCAGACGTGTGGGGAGGGAGGAATCCAGATCCGGAAGGTGAGTTGCCACCGGGTGAATGCCCAGGGCTGGGTGGATCCCGACCCGGTCACCTTTGGGTGCAATGCCACCTATAAACCCAGGGAGATCCAGAGCTGTAACCTCGGAGACTGCATCCTTCCTTACCACTGGGATGTTCAACCATGGAAAAAGGTATGATGAATGTCGCATTTATCACTTGAGAAATGAAGAAGTTGAAATCTGAACTAATAACTATATAAAGACGAAGATGAGAAATTTAAGATTAAGACTTTAGGAAGTAATATTTAACCCTTTCGTGCATGAATTTTTAAAGCGACAAAATTATTATTATTTTTTTTTTGGCCTAACGTTTAAGGAGGTACTCTGCCGTAGTAGTCGCATGTTCCACCGCTGGAAAGCAGCACTGAAAAGATTATGTGCCGTGAGTCGACCGCATGCACCAAAAGTTTCGAGGTATTTCGTATCGTGGCTGAAATTGTCTTAACATTTTGCCGTCCACTACGGTGGACGTCGTGCACGAAAGGGTTCAATAAAGCGACTAGGGAATCATTTCCAAGAACTAACCTCGGGGGATGTTGTCTTGCAGTGTTCAGAAAAATGCGGGAAGCGAGGGAAGCAGGGGAGAAGAGTGAAATGTCGAGATAGGAGCGGGAACATAAAGCCAACCATCTTCTGTCAGCTTTCACTCCGCCCCACTCGCAAGAGGCCCTGCAACAGACGTCCCTGTGAGAAACATGATTTTTTTTTCTGCTTTTAGAGATCCTCCTTTCTTTGGAAAATATGAGGCTCTTGATGCTCTCCAGATTGTATCAGTGTCTTTGTATCGTTGCATAACTTTGGTTGGCGATTGCTTTCTAGCTCGTAGGCCGATGTGGTCAGGCCATTTTTATTTATATCCCATTTTTAGACCTGACAGATGTGGTGAACATTTACAAGATAACAAAAGAAAACTTTATCCAGTATCAGATTAATAGTTATTTTGAATTTAAAATAAATGTTAAAAAAATCTAATCACCCATAATGTAGCACAAACGATCCATGCCATCTGCCCCAATCCTGCTCAAACTGCCAATTATCAATTGCCCACCATCTACAAGCACTCTCATATAATTTTCTCCACCTCTTAACTCTTCGCGTCCACCAGGATTTTTCCCATTCAATTCCTGATATTTCATTGAAAGGAGGCTTGCTACTAAAATGGAATGCACCCAGATTCCATTTCCTGCATGTTTCATTGATTATTATGATAAAAATTACCAATGGTTTCCTTCGGCGGGAGAACAGGCGGATACTACAGTTGCCTGGAAGCGAAGATCGGGATGAATGCCAAGGAAGATGCAGAGTATCCCATCATCGTGGGCCATCGAAACATCTCCATATACTGCAAGGACATGAATACCTCCATTCCCCAAGAGTACCTCACCCTCCCGATGGGCGAGAGCGAAAACTTCGCCGAGATCTACAACAAGCGGTAAGCACGAGAGACCTTCCTCCTCGACGCGATCGAGAACCTCCGGAGGACATAAGGGATCGGTTCCGTGGCAGGTTGAACAAGCCGCACACGTGTCCGCACAATGGGTTCAGACGGGACGATTGCGACTGCGTCCAGGATGCCAGGAGGAGGGCAGGTGTCACGGTCTTCACGCGCATTCGACTCAACGTCACCTCTCTCCGGGTCAACAGTGAGTCGCTCCGAAACGAGCTGTTACGAATTCCAGGACTTTTACATTAGAGGAAGAATCACGAAGGCAGCCACTCCATGGTGAGAGGAGATGGGACACTAATTGCTGTAGTTTGTCCTGGTTCCTCATGAAGGCAGCCAACGCATTGGAGAACACTCGCGCATCGATTGTCTGTTGTGTCGGAAAAATATGCAGGTTTTCATACATATCATGCAGGCAATAATTTTCACCTTCCTTTTGATTTCTCTGAAAGTCATGACCGAGTAGCAAGATTTTCAAATTTTCATGAGAAAGGTGAGCCGAACCGAGACCGAGAGAGGTCAGTCGCTTCTTGCATGGCAGTTTTGCCCATCGCTTTGAGTACTTATTCGTGTGCGCAAAACCGGCTTGAGAGACCCGATTAACACATGATACTCTGTCATGATTCGAATCCCGAACATCCACGAAGATACGCTTTTGCTGCGTTTTCACGATGTTGTCTTTGCCTGTTTGCTCGACTGTACCGAACGATTCCCCGAATGGGTTCGATCGCTTGAAAAAACGTCTCGGTCGTTTCCGTTCGCAGCGCACGACTTCACGTTCTCGCGGCAGATTCACGGACAACGGATCCCCCTGGGGGAGGCCGGGGACTGTTACAGCGCGGCGAATTGTCCGCAGGGGAGGTTCAGCATCAACCTGACTGGGACGGGGCTCCGGGTTGCAGCCTTCACTTCCTGGGTCGGACGGGGGTCTCGAGCCTCCCACTGGATCAAGCGGCTCGAGGTTTGGCTCTTTTCGCCTATTCTACTTGGGTTACGCTCACTCTGAGGGTTTTCTTCGAAACGCTTCAAGTCATCTGATTCCATGAGGGGATCTATCAGTCGTACTAATGGGATAGAATGGAATGCCCCTTGGATTTCGAATAATAGGATAGAATGAAAATAAGGAGGTAACGATGATTTCAGCAAAATGCCATATTGGAAATCAACCCGATGCATGGAATCCCACAGCCATGTAACTTCTTTAATGGCTTCTTAGGAAGCCATTAAAGACAATGCCTTAAAAAAAATTGTACTAAATAATGTTCGACCATCTCCGATTTGGACGAAAATCGGCATACACGTAGAGGAATCGATTCAACGAAATTTATTTCAACCAAATTGTTAGCTCACTCACAGATCTCCAAATATATGAATTTGAATGTGATCTATTTTGGACTCTTGGCGCCCATACGGACTAAAATCGTGATACTGCTTCTGCAATAACTTCTCTTGTAGTTAAGATACAAACTAAATTCAGGTATTATTTAAATTGCGAAATCGCCGTCTTTTATTTGATTCTGGACCTTATTCTCAAAACCTTAAACAAGAAGTTCCATTCTACCAAACAGTTTGATCTAGTTCAGGAGCCAACATCTACGCTTGACACCTGGGAATTCTTTGTTCCAATGCATCATTCGAAAGGTCATGGTATGCCATTTCTATGCGACACCAAATTCGAGATTGACATTGGATGCCTTGATGATCCATGGCTATCGGTCCCGGTAGAGCCTAAATTGTAATCGGTCCAAAAGTTTCACCGATTTCAGCGAGTAGATCACATAGAAATACGCATGTTCGGAGATCTATGAATGAGAGAAACATTGGTTGGAATTAGTTTCTATGAGTTGATTCCTTTACGTGTATGCCGATTTTCGTTCAAATCGGTGATGGTCGAGCTCACGCTCTGTTGGAATTGGCTTGGAATGACCCAAATGTTAAAAGGAATCAGAACCTTGATTTTCTAGCGAATCCAAAAAGAATGGGAAGAATAGCGAGTGGTTGGTGTGAACTTGCTCGACGGGGTACGTGGGGTTTCTTTGAAAACACTTTCAGTCATCTGGTTCCATGAGGAGACCTTTGAACAGTACTCATGGTGTTAACATTCCTGTGATTGGAACATGGAATCCGATCTGATCCATCGAGAATTCCCGAAAAATGCCATTTTGGAAAGCACACCCGTTGCACGGAAACTCTCACTAGAGTAACTTCTTCGAATGCAAAAGAAATCAACTGCCCCCTTTTTTCGAAATCGCAAATCATTTAAAAGGAAGCAGGAACTAGTGCTTGGAGCAAAAATGGAAAAGAGGGTGGGAAAGGGAAAACTCACGCTACAGAAACTTTTTTCCACCAACTCGACCTCCAGGACCACCAGAAGATCGAGGGTCAGTGCGGGGGTTACTGCGGAACGTGCAGCCCGGACCTTCAAACGGGACTCAAACTGGACGTCATGCCACCTTGACCTAGTGCACCTCCTTAGCCCAAGTTCAATCTCGCTCTCCCTTTCCCATTCGTTCGTGAGTCCCACCATTTTCCTCTCTCTCTCCTCTTGGATTTGGAATCTCGCTGATGGGTGCACGATTCCCGTCGGTCCAGGGGCAGGAGCAGCCTGTCTCTCAACTCCATTGATCTCTGACGTTCGTCTCCTCCCACAAATGGTACAAGTACGTCGAAGGACCACGAGGATCGCGACGACGACGACGACGGTGACGACGAGAGGGAGCAGTGAACGCGAGACCCTCCGCGTGTGTCCGACGAGACAGACTTGTTTTTCGCCGATTCCCAAACCATGATCTGAGTCTCTCTCTCTCTCTCTCCAGAGCACATAGGGGGGAAATTCTAGTCAAAAATTTCTTTGCTCCTTCTGTTCCGGCGAGAGCCACGTGTACCGTGTTTGCGTGCGTATGAATGCGTCCGTGTTCGAAGGAAGAGAGCGAAAACGAGTGAGAGTGAACCGAAGAAGAGCACGACGAGACGACCTCGAGAATGACCTTTCATCACCGCTGCCATTGTGATTGCGGGCATCCAACGAGTCTTTTTCGTCGTCGTGGATCTTTTCGTTCCCCCGTATCTCGTGCGGGAAGTTCGGGTCTGGATTCTCTCTCTCTCTCTCTACCCCCTTCCGCACGCGAAACAATCTCACAGTTCGGAATCTCACGATTAATAAATAAGAATAATAATAAAATAACAAAAACGACAACAGAAGAAAAGAAAATCCATGACAGATGCTTCGTCGACCGGACGAGGTCGAGGACGCACGAACGAGACGAGTCGTTGCAGTGCCAGTGTGTTGTGATATTCCACTTTATATATATATATATGCATATACTTGTTGGGAAGAAAGAATTGAAGGATGTTTTAAACCATCCAGATTTTCCCATTCGAGTCTCGAGGAGAAAAAGCACCGACGGTGCTTCATCGACGGTGAAACGCGTGTTTTTTACTCCCTCGACTTCAATGGGAAAGTCTACATTGCAGTAAATTTTTTTTTTTTTTTGCAAAAGATTGTATAAACAAAAGAATCTCTCGTGTCCTCTTCTTCTGCACCGAAAAATTCCCTCGAAATTCACTTGGTGTGAGCAGATCCGAAACAACCGCGAACGTACTACGAGATGGATTTCTTCCTCGGGACCAAGGAATCCATTGTCATCTCCCAGAGACCAATTTTGTTTTTGTGCGTCTCTCTTTTGGAGAAGCCGATTCACTGCCGTCTCATTCCGCACCGTCGCGACGAAAAGAATCCGTTCGGGAAACTCTTTCCGTAAAGGCAGCATGTCTGATTTTTTTTTGTTGCAAATCTTCCCCCTTCCTGTCCTCCCCATGTGTTAGCGATCTGTGTTCAGGAGCAATAAATGAATCGAGATGGTCCTTTGTCGTTCGACGACTCGTGTATTCCGACACGTGCAGACATTCTGTCGCACGTTTGAACGATACATGAATACTGTGAACAGGATGACACGGGGAGATGACTAGAATGCCCAAGAGAACTCGGAGTCGCTCCGCTTTCCTGGCCTCACTTTCCCATCTTTGGATGTACAAGAGAGGTAAAGAGTGAACATTTTTGTACACCTCGAGCATAGGCAATCTCGACGAAGAAAAAAAGAAGGGGGAGCTTGAGTGCGGCATTGTAGTAGCAGAAAAGGCGCAAAGAGGGAAAGCTTCAGGAGAAGTCGCTGGCAAAAACAAAACAAACTGGGATATAAATCAACAACGTAAGCATGCGTAGGCCTGCAGTCGTTCGTGTGGTGCTTCTCGGAGGAAGGTTTATTATCTGTGGAAGGTGGAGAAGGGATTTCTGTTATCCACGGGACGAGGGAAGGGTGGCTTGGGGAAGGCGTTCCTGCGAACATGGGGGAAATTGCCTGGGGTTGGAGGGGCTTTCCTCGAACCATGGGAGAAAGAGGGGATGAAAAGAGCATTTCTGGAACCTGGGGAAAGGGGTGGAGTGAAGAGGGCGTTCCTGGAGCCAGGGGAGAGCGGCGGGGCAGGGATGATGTTACGGGGATTCTGTGGCAGAATTTTCTGAGCCGGGACGGGGTTCCAGGGATCCTGCGGGAGAGCTCTCGTGGCGGCGACTGCGTTCCTGGGATCCTGGGGCAGAGTTATCGGGGCGGGGACGGCATTTCCGGGTTCTTGGGAAAGCCTGCGCATTAGTGTTGGGTCGGGTTTGACCCAGACGGCATTTGGATATCGCGATGCGACGTCCTCGCTCCCCGGCGGCCGAAGGAGTCCTCCCCGATTCACCCCTGTGTTCTGCTGTTGTTGGTGCGGAGATGGACCCGAGGATTCTACGTCCTCCGAAATCTCATCTGCGGGGGAAAAAGTAATCCAACGCGGTTCGATGAGAACGAGCGATCTTAGAGAGGAAGAAAGATCACAGAGTACATATAGGTTCTTATAATGTTTATTTTCGTGTTCTGACATTTGTAATGTGAAGTTCATCGAGGAGCAGTAATATCTGATAACAAACTTTTGGGGCCGTGGGTTTTTGCTTCCGTGGTCAATGATAATGTCCATTACTGTCATGCATCTGCTCAATGTGACCATAATTCGGGAACCGGACATAATGGTCCCACACACCAGAAAACCAACTTCTTTGAATAAGGATTAATTTTTCCCTCTCAGATATTGATATGCAATTCTAATTTACAAAATCTATTAAAATAGTTAATGAATATAACACAATTTATTCAATTAATGCAATTTTACTTGACCCATCCCACCCTATTTACCCTGTAATCCTCTGATCCTCCAATCAGCACTAGCAGCACCCAACCGCCTTCATTCATCTTCTGACTTTCACTTTTACTGCAGTTACATTTGTATAAAAGAGCAATTTCCCACTATTCATATATTCATACGTTTACGGAGTATAGAAAAAAGAAGGGAGATCTGTTATTCTCCCGTGAAATAGGTGATTGTGTGCATGGTAAGTATTTTATATTTTATCATCCTGTTATACCTAAGCGGCAGCATTACTTGCCGAAATATATCTTAATCATTCTTGAGTGTGTATTATTGGTTTGAATACGGTCAAACAACGCAATTTTGCAAGAAACTGCAGGGAATCCCCCCAAGAGGCAGAAGCAGGTATCCAAAGAAATGCAGCAGAGGCTGAGAACACTTTGCACCCAGTATGGAGAGGGATTTAAATCCATGGAGTTAAATCCTGCATGGAGTTGATCATGTCATCCGATTTTAGTATTTGTTGTACTTAGAAAAAAATTGCATCCATTGAATTATTTTATTTTAAAAATTATAATTACTTTAATAGATTAGTAATTTCATTTAATGATTCAAGCAACTTTGAATTTTACAATTATACATCCGACAGAATTTGAACAGCACATCAACATCTGTGAGGGAAAAATTAATCATTATTCAAAGAAGCTGGTTTTCTGGTGTGTGGGGCCATTATGTCCTACATTGCATTTGGGACCATTTTGTCCGGGGCCATTATGTCCGGGGCTGTTTTGTCCTACACTCCAAAATTCATGTCCACTATTGCTTGCATTCATAGGATTACATTATGAACAGTTGAACGATGTTATACAATGTTCAACAAGGCCATATGATGTCGGATGGCATCTTTTAAGTCGGTTTAGATAGCAGGCGCTGCACGATGCACAACTGACTTAAGATATCCCCACAACCTGAATTCAAGCGGAGTCAGGTCTCGAGATCGGGGTTCGGAAAAAAAGCCACCCGGAAAAAAGACCCCCAGGATTGACAAAAGCGGAAAAAAGCCATCCTAGATGAAAATGCAAAAAAGCCACCCAGGTCATTGCTTAATAATCAACAGCAAATATCGCTGTTCCAAGCACATGTTAACAACATTGGTCCTACCATCTGAGAATACTTATCTACCCGTGCCTAGGGGACTAGTAGTGGAAGCAGAACTTTGACGATTGCAAAGTGCCGAGATTACACCCAGTGCCGACATTCGCAGCATTTACCCTATATTATTGATTTTTCGTTTCCATTCATTGATAATGGAAAAGGCAAAAACATCTCTCGATCGAAAGCACTTCTTTAAATCGATTCTATAGAAATATTCTTTTCCTACATTCATAATGTAGGAAGGACTGTCCCGTTAAGAACATGGACTTAGGGACTGCGGATGGAAGTGGGGGTGGGGGCAATGGGCGGTTCAGGTTGGTGGATTGAGGAGGGGAGCTAATCCTGATCCTCTCCGTCCCCCGGAAAAAGGAGTGAAAGTGGATATGAGGGAGATAAAAATAAAAACCTTACATGGCCCCAAAGCAATTGTTATTTGAGAAAAATTCCAAGAAGTGCAGAGAGAGTGCAATCATCTCATCCTGCGACACGGCCAAAATCGAAAATTTTCCCGCCATAATATTCATTTTTAAGGAATGGGCTGAAGTTGGACTTTGTCTTATGTTTCATAACATTTCAGGGAAGTTGATCAAATTACATGACATCAATATCACTAAATGTCGCAAAAATGAATGAGTCTTTAATCTGAACATAACTGGATGGCACTTTTCTGCCTTTGCCTAATCTGGGGGTCTTATTTCCGGGTGGCTTTTTCCCTCAAACCCTCGAGATCACGGGGGCCAAGCTCGAGGGAAATGTCTGCTAATTATGCCATCGCCAAAAGAATTCGTCAGGAATGTCTTCACAGACAGTGTAACAAAATATTCTCATTAGTTCTCCTCGATCTTTATTTTAGGGGGTCAGAAACTTTCGGAACACCCTGTATGCATATGTAGCGACGAGAGAAGCCCTCTGTTGGCCATTGTTTTTGACAATGGAAACGTGTTTCCCAAGGTCTTAAGGGTGTGTCCACCAAATGGTACTGCTTTACCATGCACAGTATTCGAGTTATCGATGTTAGAACACGCCAATTATCTTCAAAAGAATCCTTCATGCATATTCATGGACAGAAAGGCAAGTCCTTGACCGGCTACAGCCTTTGCAACCACGGGAACTCCCCGACAGGCATGCTGAAACGATTCTAAAATAGCACGCTAGGTTGACCACAGAAACAGACACAGAAACTTGTAATAGCTGTTGATGCACCGGGCCGGCCGTACACCGCCAGACGAAACCGGTCGAACAGGGTCAAAAATCCGGTATGCGGACGGAATCTCGAAATCCGGAATCTCGAATTCCATATTCTCGATCGAATATACGAAGAGCGTCCACAGAAGAAAGTCTATACCTGCAAAGTTCGCGCAAATGCCCACTTGATATATAAATATACCATAGTAGTACATAACATTGAATCAACATTGATTTAATGTTATGTGCAACTAGGATATAAATGATTAACAGGTATAAATGATTAACAACGTAATAAAACATGAACATAAAGAAGGAGATTCGCAAGATATACATTCCAGAATGTTTCAACACCGGATCGATGAAAGTAGGATTGTTTCCAGGAATGCACTGGAAATCGTGGGAAACAGGTAATTTGAGATCAGATCAGGCATGTGGGATTATGCTGCTCCTTAACCCAAGCTTTGGACCCACTCCGAAGGCAAAGGGATAATTGAAGCCTGACATGAAAATTCCCGGTCACCCGCAATCATCTCGGAGATAATGAGGGCGCGTTGATCCGGAGGCTGAACGGTGGAGCTCCCTACTGAGGATCGCGTGAGAAAATCTTCAAATCGTGTTTTAGACAATCCCCAAGTCAAATATTGATTGACAATCCCCTCGTGTCCGCCGAGGAGAATGGGAAGGAAAGTAAGATGCGGTTGTCTGGAGCGTTTGCAAACCGATAATATATAATTATTGTGTATTGTGACTATTCATTTCGCTTCGAGTGATGCCTGCCTCTTTCTAATCCCCGTTAATCCTTAACCCGCGGTCGACTTTTGAGGCTGGAGGTATCTCCGCATATATGTTCCAATAAAAGCGTGCAACGGGAATTCAAGGTCAAGGCCAAATTCGCCAAGAGTCAGAAAAGGAGATGAAGTGCTCGGTCTAAGTTATTTATGAACGCGATTCGCTTGGAAGCAATGGGACCATATACTGGAGGTGCGTCGAGGTCAAGTCGGGGTGGAAGGGATTATAATGATAATAATAATAATTAAAAACTGATAAATCAAGAAAATCCTGTCTGAGCACCATCTTCTTGGATTCATACCTCGGAGGAATCGCACATAATAGTTTTTTTTTATACTTTGAATTTAAATTGTTCAATTGAAATTTTGACCGATAATAAAGAAATCCCAAAATGTTTTCTGTTCGAGATTATGAGTTGAAATGCTTGAATTGGAGAATGGTCGAGATTCTTGGTTTTCGAGATTCCGTCCGTAACTCCAAAAATCCAGCCGGGGAGCTATAATACGCCATCTTTTTCCTTTGCAGCCTTCTGCCCGGACCCCCTCGTCTGCCTCGCATATTACTATTGTTTCGGGGTGCCTATCAGGGGGTTCCCGTGGTTGCTGAGCTGTAGGCGGTCGAGGGCTTGCCTTTATTTCCATGAATATCCATCATATTATATTCGACTTGAAAGAAGGCAATAGAAACCTATCGTCCCTCCAGTGATTCTAGCAACGATGCCAAGTTTTTCCTGGTTCTGAAACACCTTTTCTCTCTCTCTCTCTCTCTCTCTATATATATATATATATATAATGTTGAGTCCTATGTTTAATAATGAACGGCTTTTTAAGCGATTACCTGGTAGGGCAGTGGCCTGCTTCCCACCAAGGCGCATAGATAGTGAAAAGGAAATACCAATGGTGCCTGTCCCACCCAAATCAATCTAGGCGACGGGGGAATGAACCCCGCTACTAGTAAAAATTCCTTAACCTTAATCCAGGCAAGGTGAGTACGCTGGACTCACTACGACATATTTCGGTCTATTACTGTCATTATTTTTTTCGTAGAAAAATGAGCTTTCGTGACTTTGTCACCTTGTTCGTGCTCTTCAAAAATACAAAGAAATTTACAAAGAAATACATACCGTAACCGCAGCAAACGGCCTTATTTTACATGTGAGTCTGACAGACTCACCTTGCCCGTAATTTGTAAAAAAGCTTGCCCGGATGAGGGTTAAATAAGAAGCCTCCTGTTTTGCCGAGCAACCCATTGCATTGGCTGATATACGCAATTGAGTCCACTTCGTACTTATATAATAATAATAATAATAATAA